TAGTATATTTTTATTTAATGCCATGTCAGCATCTTAGGCTATTTTGACGGCAAAAACAATAAAAAAAAAATGGAAGTATAACAAATACAATAAAAACTAGAAAACAAGTTATATTACATTAACATATGTGACCCTGGAGCACAAAACCAGTCATAAGGGTCAATTTCTCGAAATTGAGATGTATGCATCATCTGAAAGCTGAATAAATAAGCTTTCCATTGATGTATGGTTTGTTAGGATCGGACAATATTTGAAAATCTGGAATCTGAGGGTGCAAAAAAATCTAAATATTGAGAAAATCATCTTTAAAGTTGTTCAAATGAAGTTCTTAGCAATGCATATTACTAATCAAACATTAAGTTTTGATATATTTACGGTAGGAGATTTACTAAATATCTTCATGGAACATGATCTTTACTTAATATCCTAATGATTTTTGGCATAAAAGAGAAATGTATAATTGTGACCCATACAATGTATTGTTGGCTATTGCTACAAATATCCCCCAGCGACTTAACACTGCTTTTGTGCTGAAGGGACACAAATGATAAAAACTCAATCTTTTTCTGGCAAAATACTAAACCCTTTAAGCGAGTTCTAGCTAATGATGAACGTCTGCACCGTATGCAATGCTTCAGTATTAAAAACACTCACCTCCTGTTCAACATACTGCAGGAGGTAGACCCAGCCGTTGAAGTCTTCAGGATTATCCTCCACAACTTTAAAGAGCCGCTCGTAATCTGCAGGAAGCTCAGATTCGTGTGTGGCGGCTGTGTCTGTCGCTGGTTCCTCTGCTTCTGCGGTTTCTTTGGGAGCGTCTTCCAGCTCCATATTGGTAGGGCTCTCCGAGTCTCCCGCTCCGGCCGGCTTCGCCTCGTCCTGCTGTCCGTTTGACTCCGTCTGCTGCCCGAGGCTCTCCGCACCGGGGTCTGCAGGACTGGCTGTGCGGTCGATGTTCTCCGCTGCAGACTTCAGATGCTCCATCGAGTACAGCTGGTTTTGTTCCAATGCAGATGGCTGCTGGATCTGCTCGCACTCGTGGCTTTCCGGATTCGCCGGAGGAGCCGTCCAGTCGGTCGCGGTCGGGTCTGTGCCGTAATCGGCCCCGGTGCCCTCCATAGCAGGAGCGTCCCCGTTATCAGGGGCATTCGTGTCCAACATCCCAGTCATGGGCTCACCTGAAACAAACACATCAAACACACATCATGCAAGTCTGAAGATAACATGAGATAAAACCAAGCAACATCGTGACTCAAAGTTCAGGGTTCTCAAAGACTCAAAAAATGTCCACATTTAACATGAATGGTCCATAGAGCATTATTTTCAGCATTCTATTTGGTATATAGTACAGTCGTCTGTAAACATTTTTATTTTCATTGATTTTCTCCAAGTGACATTAACATACAGAGCCCCTAAAAGCCACTTTTACATGCACACAAGCCATTTTTTTGCATGCTTGCACATTAGTTTCTTGCACATCTCCTTTGTGCACCACTGCCATCTTACTACGAAGAAAACAAGAGCATGGATGCACATGAATTAATAGAAACCTACTTGCTCAAAATGTGGCTTTTCTTATGGTAGCACCTCTAATATCAAGCCCTAATGTCCAGTTTAACACATCCTCCGCAGAAACCATGACACGAAATGGGCTTAAATGAGTTCAAGGGGTTATAAACAAAAAGACTGGTACTTTACATAAAAAAATTAAAATCAAGATTTATGTTATAAAAGATTTTTCTTATGGTAGCACCTCTAATATCAAGCCCTAATGTCCAGTTTAACACATCCTCCGCAGAAACCATGACACGAAATGGGCTTAAATGAGTTCAAGGGGTTATAAAAAAAAGACTGGTACTTTACATAAAAAAATTTAAATCAAGATTTATGTTATAAAAGATGAAGTGCCATGCAGGCTATGTAAGACAATAGTGGCTGATTAGACGCGACACTGACCTAAAATGTCCACCATTCCCACATCTGAAACAATACTCTTTTAGACAGTTTTTGAAGTAAAGAAAATACTATGCAAGACTTATTGTAATACCCAGTTTTTTATTTACCCTTGCAATAAGTTTTTATATAATAGACTCCACAGAAAATGCTAAGTTGTGATAATGCATAATTATTACGCCTAATTTGCATATTTTTAAGCTTTGCGCTGCTGAAGATACTCGCGTATTTCGACGGTTTCGGTCAGTTTTCGACAAACTCTGTACAAACGACTTAGAAATGCGTTAAAGGTGCCCACGGAAAACATTCATGAACGGAGAAACAACGAAGGAGTTGTTTACAGTTATGTGAAATGTTAGCATCGCGTTTTCTTGTCAAACGCCACGCGAGGATTAGTCGAAGTTAGTTTGCGAGTTACGATCAAAACACGCTTTAAAACGCGTTCAGCGGCATTTCAAAGTTTCAAAACCAGCGCAACATGTTGTTAAACTATGAAAACGGTCTGGTTTTGGCCTGGTCTCTTCTCCTCACACGCTAGCTAGACTGCTAGCATACCGCCGCCGCTAGTTTACCTCAGAGTTTTCTAGAAACAAACGCACGAGAGTCGCGGGAAGCATACTTACCAGAGTCTTCCATGAAACTGGGTTTAAACGGCGGATATTTTCACAACTTCTTCGAAGTTTCATGCGGTTGATAACATGTGGTCAAACGGCAACGCATTCAACACCCGTTGCGTCTCGCGACGAGAGGAGGACGCGAATGCTTTGCGCATGCGCACTGCGAAACTAAAACGCGAGTGACGTCACTCGCTGGTTACCGATAGGGGGCGTAACGCGGCCCCCAAAAATCATACAAGTCAAAATTGAATAATTTAATATTTATTTGAAATACATTAAGTCAACGTATAGTTATTAAAAGCCATGCGATAAAAAAAATTGCGGTAGCCTAATTGCGACTTTGTATCTTTTTTTTCACGCAATTCTGAGTTTATATCTCACGGTTCTGTTATTTCTTTTCACAATTCTGAATTGCGAGATGTGAAATCAGCACGGCAAGAAATAAACTCACAATTACGAGATCAATTCTGTTTAATTATTAAACTAAATATATTAAAAACGCGCACATTTGAAGCCAATAAAGCTATCTGATCTGAATTTAATAATAAAATAAAAGGCTAATTGGAAACGCGTTTCGGGTATTTCGGATTCTGGGTTTTGCGTAAAATGTCTTTTCGAGTTCCGGGTTCACGTAGCCTAAAATAAAGGAAGAAATGTAAAGGAAAAACTATTTCTGAGTTCTCTTTTTAGCTACTCTTTCAAACGTTTGAAATGTTAGATGTGTTTGCTACACGTGGAAGTCAGTTCCTCTGAGAGGGGGGGACAAAATGCAAATATGCACGTATTTATAGGTCTGTCTGGTGCTTTATTTAAATGAGGCATTTTTTAACTCGATGTGACGTCATGAGCCCGTCACATGATGCCACTGAGACGCAAAAACTCCGTAACATTTAAAACGTGTCAGAACCCTGCAAATATCATATCTGAAGGGTATTTTAAACAAAGCAGCCTCTAAAAAACACCCCAATTACATTCTTCCGAGTCTCAACGGCGTGCATTTAATTCAGATCGGGCTTGACTCGTATTAATAACGCCTACTACGGCGGAGGACCGTACGCCCATCTCATGAATATTAATGAGCTCATGCGTCCCTTGCTGGACTCATTAAAAAAACGTGCCGCTGTTTTTCCTACAAATATCAGGTTTATTAGACAACAAGCTAGAGAAGAAATTTAGTGACTTACAAATGAGGACAGAAGCAATCAAAACAACAAAAGAGCAGTGATATTTAAATGCTGTAATAAGTCAGAGTTAGCGCACATAGCGAGTTTTTTTATATATAATAAATAAAAACAAAACAAGTAGATAGCATAGAAAAAGAACGGCGCCTTTTCACAAGACTACGGTCATCAGCATCGTAAATCCTCAAATGTTTTTTTATCATTTATGTACATTTATAACAGAGTGTGTGTTAAAGGATCAAGTGTTTTTAGTTAACGCATCTTCTTGGCGTGGAGGAATGTGGTTTCTGCCGGGTCTTAAAGTGTTTTGATTTCACATAAAAAGGAACAAAATTCATAAAGTCACGACATGCTGCATGCACTGCAAAAAACAGTGTTTTTGTCTTGTTTTCCAGTGCAAACATCCTTAAATCTGGAGATGCAGAATGAAGATAAGAAGACTTGTTTTCTGAGAAACTGAACAAAATGAAGAGCGTTTATGGTTAAAACGAGAACAACTATCTGCCAGTGCAATGCAAATTAGGTTGAGTTGATTATTTTTTTTACTCTATTGGCAGATTAGGGCTTATTTGTTCTTGTTTTAATCATAAACTCGCTTCATTTTGATGCATTTCTCATTAAAAAAAAAAGTGATGTGATTTTGATTCTCCGGTAAATGCTCTCTTAAAAGCAAACGAACCATTGAGTCAAAAGAACCGTCTCTTTCTTACCTTTTTATAATCTGAAGAACCTTCAGAGAAGCTTTTGTGAAGCAGAAAGGTTCTAAAGGTTCTTTATGGAACATTTAGATTAAAAAAAGTTCTTCTGTGGCATCACTGTGAAGAAGCTTTATTTGTAAGAGCGTGTATCTTGGTTTATGAATCTTCAGACGTTTGCAATAGAAAACAAGACAAGATACTGAGAAAGGAAGGTGCAGTAAAAGTTGTTTTCCCTTCAATTTATTCCTTAAATGTTCTTTTGTTTTGGTTTTCCTGCAGAGTGTTTTTGCAGGAGCTTTCACGTCTGTCTGAATGAGAGATGACGTGTTTGGTTTGAGGAAAATAAGCTCATTTGTACCGTGACATTATTTGCATATAATTAAATTTCTCCCACTGTAATAAAAAAATAAATGCAGTTCCCAAGATGTATAAATACTTTTAAATTATTATTAATTTATTTATTTGCTTGCATTTTTCACTGAAAGAAATTGATGTAGAAACTATTTTCACTCAGAAATTGCTGGTAAATTTCACACATAATTGGAAAAATAGAAATGGCAGGTAACATTGCATGCTCCACTTTAGCCTACTTTTTGTTGTTGTTGTTGTGTACAGAGTTAGGGTTTGTTCAGTGAGTTTGACCTGCACACACTAAAGGCTTGCTGACGTTACGCTAAACGTCCAGCCGTATCATGCATTTGTAAATAAAAATTGGTTTAGAATTGAGACATTTTAGAAATTAGAATTTGTTTATTTTATTTATTTATTTTTGCATTATTCACTGAAAGAAATTGATGGTGAAACAATTTTCACTTTCAAATTTCACAAAAAAATTACGAAGAATCCGCAAGTAAATTAATGCAGCAGGTAAATTATGTGTGAAACTCTGAAGTAGAAAAACTGAAATGTTACCTTGTAAAACATACTCCAATGATCTTCATTTTAATATAACTTAGATTTTTTTTTGTTGCATGTATTGTATATTTTGCATGCACTATACAATTTTAGAAAAACACCATAACGGTTGATGATAATGTTTGAACATCTTGTTTCTGAGGATCTTCTTCTCTCAGCGCTTCAGACGTTACAGTACTGGCTTTCACGCCACTGTGTTTAATCTGGTTCAGCCGCGGCGTGGAAACACAGAAATCTCAGAAAACACTGGAAACTTTGTTTTGTGTTTCTTGAGTTGCTTTTCTCCACCTGAAACATCGCAGCATTGATCTCTGCCATATTTGGCAGCAATAAAACTAAATCATAAAGTTTTCTCCCACACGACAGGTTTATCAGCAGCGAACGAGTGAGAGACGCTCATCAACCGGCCCATAGACTCACTCAGGACATCATTAGTGTGTGTTAATACACACATCACACACACTGGCTATGCTGCTCCGTCTGGGGTTTCACTGGACCTGCGTGAGACGGGTTCAAATCAACACGTTTAAGAAGAATAGTTCAGCCAAAAATAAAATTCTCCTGAAAATGGTCTCCTTCCAAGATTAGGATGAGTTTGTTTCTTCATCAGGTTTGGAGAAATGTAGCACTGCATCAGTGTCTCAGCAATGGATGCTCTGCAGTGAATGGGTGCCGTCAGAACGAGAGTCCAAACAGCTGATAAAAACATCACAATAATCCACAGCACTCCAGTCCATCAGTTAACATCTGGAGAAGACAAAAGCTGAAACTAATCCACCATTAAGACGCTTTTAACTTTTAAATGATGAGTCCATAATCCATAATAACTCTTCCTCCAGTGATGGATTTGACATGTTTTTTTTTTGTTTGTTTTTTGTTTTTTAAATACGTCAATCGTTTTCATTAATCTTTGATTCAGTTTTAGTTTTAGTTATTTTAGTACTTCAAGCTAAACTAATGAAATGCAAATGAAAAATGTTGCCTTGGCAAATAGATGAAATAAAATAAGATTAAGTTTCTCATATATATATATATATATATATATATTTTTTTTTTTTTTTCCGTCCATCCATCCGTCCATCCATCCGTCCATCCATCCGTCCATCCATCCGTCCGTCCGTCCATCCATCCATCCATCCATCCATCCATCCATCTATCCGTCTGTCCATCCATCCATCCATCATCCATTCGTCCATCCATCCATCCATCCATCCATCTATCCGTCCATCCATCCGTCCATCCATCCGTCCGTCCGTCCGTCCGTCCATCCATCCATCCATCCGTCTGTCTGTCCATCCGTCCGTCCCTATCTATCCATCTGTCTATCCATCCATCTATCTATCTATCCATCCATCTATCCATCCGTCTATCTATCTATCCATCCATCTATCCATCCATCTATCCATCCATCCGTCTATCTGTCTATCCATCCGTCCATCCATCCATCCGTCCGTCTGTCCGTCCATCCGTCCATCTATCTATCCATCTATCCGTCTGTCCATCCATCCGTCCATCTGTCTATCCATCCGTCCATCCATCCATCCGTCCATCTGTCCGTCCATCCGTCCATCCGTCCGTCCATCCATCTATCCGTCTGTCCATCCATCCATCCATCTGTCCGTCTGTCCATCCATCCGTCCATCCATCCGTCCGTCCATCCATCCGTCCATCTGTCTGTCCACCCATCCGTCCGTCCGTCCATCCGTCATTCTGTCCATCCATCCATCCGTCCATCCATCCATCCATCCGTCTGTCCATCCATCCGTCCATCTGTCTGTCCACCCATCCGTCCGTCCATCCATCCATCTGTCCATAAATCTGTCCATAAATCCGTCCATCTATCCATCCGTCCATCCATCCGTCCGTCCATAAATCCGTCCATCTATCCGTCCGTCCATCCATCCGTCCATCCATCCGTCCATCCATCCGTCCGTCCATCCGTCCGTCCATCCGTCCGTCCGTCCGTCCGTCCGTCCATCCATCCATCCATCCATCCATCCATCCATCCATCTATCCATCCATCCATCCATCCATCTATCCATCCATCCATCCATCCATCTATCCATCCATCCATCCATCCATCTATCCATCCATCCATCCATCCATCTATCCATCCATCCATCCATCCATCTATCCATCCATCCATCCATCCATCTATCCATCCATCCATCCATCCATCTATCCATCCATCCATCCATCCATCTATCCATCCATCCATCCATCCATCTATCCATCCATCCATCCATCCATCTATCCATCCATCCATCCATCCATCTATCCATCCATCCATCCATCCATCTATCCATCCATCCATCCATCCATCTATCCATCCATCCATCCATCCATCTATCCATCCATCC